AGTTGCGAGATTCTTACCGATTGAACTTTGCTATTTGTACACTAATTTTTGACACTTACATTGTTTTCAAGTGTAAATTGGATGGAAAAACTGTTTGAAATTTAAAGTTCCAACAGGGTAACGTCAAGTTGCAAAGTGTAAATTAAAGTGTACATGTCACAAAGTTTTTACGAATTGAACGTTGCTATTTATACACTGATTTTTGACACGTTGTTTGACACTTGCATTGCTGTCAAGTGTAAATTGGATGGGAAAACTGTTTCAAATTTAAATTGCCCAATAGGGAAATGTCACGTGGCAAAGTAAAAACTAAAGTGTACATGTCGCCAGGTTCTTACCAATTGAACTTTACTATTTGTACACTAATTTTTGACACGTTGTTTGACGCTTGCATTGTTGTTAAGTGTCAATTGGATGGGAAAATAGTTTGAAATTTAAACTATCCAACAAAGTAATGTCAAGTGACTAAGTGTAAACTAAAAAGTGCACACTATAGTGTACATGAAGCAAGGTTCTTACCGATTGAACTTTACTATTTGTACACTGATTTTTCACACGTTGTTTGACACTCACATTGTTATCAAGTGTCAATTGGATGGAAAAATTGTTTGAAATTTAGTATGTCCAATAGGGTAATGTCACATGGTAAAGTGTAAACTAAAGTGTACACCATAGTGTACAAGTCGCGAGGTTCTAACCGATTGAACTTTGCTATTTGTACACTAATTTTTGACACTTGCATTGTTTTCAAGTGTAAATTGGATGGGAAAACTGTTTGAAATTTAAAGTTTCAACAGGGCAACGTCAGGTTGCAAAGTGTAAATTAAAGTGTACATGTCACAAGGTTCTTACCGATTGAACTTTACTATTTATACACTGATTTTTGACACGTTGTTTGACACTTGCATTGTTGTCAAGTGTAAATTGGATGGGAAAACTGTTTCAAATTTAAATTGCCCAATAGGGTAATGTCACGTGGCAAAGTAAAAACTAAAGTGTACATGTCGCCAGGTTCTTACCAATTGAACTTTACTATTTGTACACTAATTTTTGACACGTTGTTTGACGCTTGCATTGTTGTTAAGTGTCAATTGGATGGGAAAATAGTTTGAAATTTAAACTATCCAACAAAGTAATGTCAAGTGACTAAGTGTAAACTAAAAAGTGCACACTATAGTGTACATGAAGCAAGGTTCTTACCGATTGAACTTTACTATTTGTACACTGATTTTTCACACATTGTTTGACACTCACATTGTTGTCAAGTGTCAATTGGATGGAAAAATTGT